TTAATTTGTCTCTTATTTCCCTTTTTTTTTCTTTGATGAAGTATTTGCTTCTTTCTTTTTGTCTTTCAGTATCTGATAACTGTACGTGGTGACATTTTGTATTTACCACTACATATCGTTTAGGGTGTGAGTTTCTTTACAAATGGCGGTACTCCCGAGATATTGTGTGTTAATGTGTAATATGATAGAAGCTTCTTAGCTCCTGTTTGTTTGTTGAGGTTATTTGGTTGTCGAATGTGATGGTAACCTTACCTTATCTCACTTCACATGGACGTGTTTGTTTATGGCGTGTGCACACATGCTTAATCGTTTGATTTCGTGATACTTGCGTTTTTACCTTTGCTTAATCTGACTTGCCCGACGTCTCTGGGGTTATGGGTACGCGCTTGGTCGTCGCACACAGAAGACATCTGTTCGATCCCCGTGTTGGGGGCATTTAACGAGCATCTCGGTCTTTGTGTTGGAAAATTGTAGTCCTCTCAGTTCAAATTTGATTATGAGATTGATAGTAAATTAATGCTTATTGTTACCGTTATTTTCGGTTGAACGGTGGTGGGGCGGGTGGGCGTGGTGGGGGGGGGGGGGGAATGGGGTCTGTTTCATCCTTATCTTTAGGTCTTAACCAATCGTAACTCTGTGTGATACCACATCAAAAAATAAAAACAGTGGTTATATTATTTGGATTCTTCCTACGTAGGAACCGAACGCATAGTGCGTGTTTTATGTTATTTCGGTGGCGAAGTGCTCAGCACGCTACAAAACACATTTTTTTTACTTCTTCTTTCACATTGTCCAAATCGTGTTAACCCAACAAGAGTATGACATTGTGGGGGGACCAGGAGAACTGCCCCCCCCCCCCCCCCCCGCGGGCCAGACCCCGCCCACTGACCCTAGTCCGGTGACCTCACTTTGTGACCCCTGTCTGAGGTTAACATTATGCTGCTGGCATCCTGTCACTTTCTGATCGGTCCTCTGCATAGACCGCCTGTGTTTACTAAAGACGTATTACGATAAGACAAAGGGTCAAACCCAGGAAAGGTTACACACTACAAAGTATATTGACGTCTTTTGTTTTAAGAATTTGGCCAAAAGCGTATTCTATAGATTTCATCGTGTCCTTTCAGCATGATGATGATAATATTTCCGTGAGCAGTTGCGAGCGCCCAAAAACTCTGACTAAAACATAACATGATCCTATTTTTGTTGCATTAAAACCTGTTGGCTCTTACATGACCAAAATTGAGTCAATAGTGCCATAAAACACCTACACAATCATCAAATCAGATTTCATCGTGCTGAAATGTGAAGTGAGATGGACATGTGTACAGTCCGTAAATCATGAATAAGACCATGAAATCTGAATACAGGTCATCCTTTAAAATAATAATAATGACTATTTTTTGCGAATAAGTTTTCAAAGAATTCACCAATAACTCATTCCAAATTGTGACAAGGAAAAACAACCCGTACATCAATTTCTCTTTCAGCTCTCGAAAAATGATTTGCAGCGGAGCCAACCTTTAGAGCGCCATTTTTATTCAATTAATTAAGAGCTTTGGATGATTTACCGTATTCCTTCCCTC